ATGCACTTAGTGTGGGGCTTAACAGTGGCATAAAGCCAATTTTATGTGCCTCCTTTGGGTGTTCACTAAGCACTGTCTGTCTGAACCAAAAACAAGTATTATCTGCATGGTGTTTACTCGTGTTATTTATCTGTCTTTTCCAATGTGATGCCCAATCATTTTTCCCTTCAATTGCTGTACTAATTACATTAGTCAGATTAGTAACCTCTGGTTTTTTACCGTCTTTAATTAATTTCACAAATTAAATGTGTAACAAATTAAATATATAGCAAGTACTGGCTGATTTAAATATTCATGTATTAATAAATTTGAAAGCAGTTGAGGATAATAAATGATAAGTAATATACAACAAGGATTTTTCAAGAAAAAATTATGCCAAGCCCACCTAATTTTCCTCTTTGATAGGGTTACTGGCCCAGTGGATAGGGGAAATGAAGCAGTAGATGTAATTTAACTTTATTTTAATAAAGCATTTGATGAAGTCCCACATATGACATTGTCAAAAGCAAAATAGGGAAATGTAGTTTAGATAAAATTAGTATACAATGGGTGCACTCAGAGATTAGTTATCAATGGTTTTCTGCCCTTGGGGTGAGGGGAGTGGACATATCTAGTAGGCCCATCTGGGGTCTAACATGCTCTGCTGGTCCAATACTATTCAATAATTAATTTATGACTTGGACATAGGTATGGAAATATGTTTTAAAAATGTGCACCAAGCTAGAAGGCACTGTAAGCACTTTACAGGACAGGATTAGAATGCAAAAGGATTGGTCTGAAATAAACAAGATTAAATTCAATAAGACAAGTACAAAGTACTTACACTTAGGAAGGAAAAATAAAATGCACAAATACAAAATGGGAAATAACTGGCTAGGTAACAGTGCTACTGAAAAGGATCTGGGGATTATAATGGATCACAAACTGAATGTGAGCCAGTAATGGGAAGCAGCTCACCTCTAGATCTTTTTTTTTAATAAAGCAGTGACCACAATTTGACACAACACAAAGTCAACTTGTGGAACGTATTGCTAGAGGATGCTGTGAAAGACGAAAGTATTAATGAGCTCAAAAAAGAATTAGATGTGTTCATAAAGGTTAGGCCCATCAATGTCTATTAACCAAGATGGTCAAAGATATAACCTCATACTCTGGGTGTCCCTAAACTCTGATTGCTAGAAATAGGACAGCATAGCAGGGAATGGTTCACTTGAAAATTTGTCCAGTTCGTTTCACTCCCTCTGAAGTGTCTGGTGCCAGCCACTGTTGGATGACAGCATAATGGACTAAATGGACCATTAGTTTGATCCAGTGTAGACCATCATATGTTCTTAATAAATTGTTTTTCATATGATTTTTATTAACCACTCAGCCTGGGCTAAGACTCATGTTTCCTTCCAATTCGTGTTTCCTTCCAAACTGTAATCCTACAGAGCTCCAAATCCTGGGCCTGTATTATATGGCAGTAGCATGATAGCTCCTTAATGTTGGATATGCATGCTCAACCATAAGCTGAATTATCCAGAAAATGAGCAAGCAACATGGAGGGCAGAGTTCACTCCCACACGTTAGCCAGGTAACGAAGAGTAGTTTGAGGTGGAGTGAGAAACTTATACAGATGAATCCATTTCCCAAGCAGTCCTAAATACACCCCAATCACCACAGAGTGATGTAGTGCAACCTTATTGATTCATATGAAGCCATCAAAACACAGTAATGTAAAGTATGCACTTAGCCATTTACAACTAAACGTGAGACAAACTCAAGATAATTTTGGCAGCAAAAATAAAGGGTGTAACTGTACGAAAATATAGCAATTTTCCTTCTGTTGAAATTTACTTTACTATTCAGCAATGTCAAGAGCTGATCAGACTCCAGAAGTCTATCAGAGACTTCGAAACAGAAACTTCTCTGTTGTATCTAGCAACATTGCATGTTATTCAGCAGTAACTAAGAATTTCCAGAAGGAATAGTACAATAACAATAAAATAAGAACTCAGATCCAGGACACAGATCCTGGCTCTACTGAAGTCAATGGGAGTTTTACCATTGACTTCAGTGGAACCAAGATTTTACCCTAGGAATTTAGTGTGAACAGATAGACTATGGAACACAAGAAGAACATCTGAAATATGTTCACTACTATTGTTTTGATTCTTTAATTACCTTCCCATTCAGAGTCCTGATGTTAGTTATACAAAAGAATATAAACTTTGGAAGGTTTTGGACTATTCTTTTTCTTCCCCCTTTATAACTCACAGTCAATAATACTTGAGAGAATGTATTTCATAACAGAAATTTCAGTTATTTGAATCTTTGAGCTATACTTCAAATAATACATGGAAGATAGGGTATGTTATGGTTTGTTTGTTTGTTTGTTTTAAAATATAAGTCAATATATAAAGTATTTGGAGAGGGAAAAACAAGAAAAATAATTCTTCAAGTATTGACACGTGAGCTCAAGAATTTCATAAGAATAAATAAGCAACCAAAAATCTTTTGGTGAGCACCTCTGTCAGCTAATGAAGTTTCAGAGTGCCCTAAACTAAGAAACATCATCACCCTGAGACCCTATTGTCATGTTTGCATCATAATATTGCAAGATCACAGTACAGAGTACCATTGTATAAATACAACACTATGCTATTGCTGCAAACATCTGAATGTCATACCAAAACTCAGTGGCTGTGTCTACACTGGCAAGTTATTCCGGAAAATCAGCCGCTTTTCCGGAAAAACTTGCCAGCTGTCTACACTGGCCACTTGAATTTCCAGAAAAGCACTGATGATCTAATGTAAAATCATCAGTGCTTTTCCGGAAAAACTATGCTGCTCCCGTTCAGGCAAAAGTCTTTTTCCGGAAAAGTGTTCCGGAAAAGGGCCAGTGTAGACAGCACAGTAGTGTTTTCCACAAAAAAGCCCCGATCGCGAAAATGACGATCGGGGCTTTTTTGCAGAAAAGCACATCTAGATTGGCCACAGACACTTTTCCGGGAAAAGTGCTTTTTCGGAAAAGCATCCTGCCAATCTAGATGCGCTTTTCCGGAAATACTTTTAACGGAAAACCTTTTCCGTTAAAAGCATTTCCGGAAAATCATGCCAGTGTAGACGTAGCCAGTGTCACAACTCTTGTGTATTTTCTGACATACCAGTTAACAAAATTTCAAATGCTCTTCACCGATTATTGACTGGATCAAGATGTGTCTGCTTGAAGTAATGAGAATGGATTGTAATGGTTCTGTTCAGCAGTCCCTGCATTGTTGTATGTGTGTTTGTATGGTAGGAATGTGTGTGTTTTTATAGTGTATGAATGTCTCAGACCAAATTCAAACTTGAAAACAGTTTTTACAAGAGCTATATGTGGTGCTTCATGTCTTTTGATTATATAACAACACTCAAGAGCACTCTGTTTTTCCTCCATATTTAAAAAAACCAGACAGTCATCACTTAGAATCCTGAGTTCATTGCTTTAGGACATCAAAATTAAATGAAATGGCCTCAATACCTTGCTATGTAATGTTTTTCCCAGGGATGGGATACCTAGGCAAAGATTCTAATAAAAGAAATCTGTGAATATAAAGATACAACCTAAGTGTATTTACAAACATAGTTAGAAAATCTAGAACAAGAAAGATCTCTTTGCTTTTGGGTATTTTACTTTTTGCATTTTCTCTGTTCTGTCAAAAAAAAAAATTGGTAATTTTTCCCTAATATTTGCAATTTGCCTGGGGATTGTGTGCCTCACATTTATGGACCATTGCATTAATGTCCATATAAAACACAATGTTTTTTTCTGTTCAATATATTTATCATAAAATAATGTGGTTTCCTAAATTCCTAAAGGTTCTAAAGTTAACAAATTCAGTTACGTAATTCTGATATCATTAATGAGATAGTTCATCTTTATCAATAATCTGCAAAATATTAACTTGTCTTACTGCAATTGCATAAGTGACGACAACATATGATTGCTCATTGGGCTCTGAAAAAAACCCAAATGCTACGATATTTAGCAATGTTGTCTATATAATTGTGAGGAGTATATTGCCATCTTGATGCACAAAATGTACTCAAAAGCAGGAGTATTTTTAAAACTAAGTGATACAAATGCTTTCTCATTTTATTTTATGACCCAAAGTCTTGGTGGTAAGCAGCCTGCCATGGCACTCCAACAACTCCAGAAGATATCACAAGTAATATAGCAAAATGAGTTATACTAGCCAACTATAAACTGCATCTCTCTTCTAATTCATTAAAATTTAGATCGGTTGATCTGTCTCTGCTCACAATTTATAAAGCCCTGTTCTGCAAAAAAAATTCTATCATGGAGAGATTTGCACTCTAAACAGTAAGGCTAAACTCTAAGGCCCAATTCTGATCTCAGAGAATGGCAAAGCATTATTGTAATGGTAAATGGCTCATTAATGTAAGAATAGTTAAGAACTGCTTGTGCCATATACCATTTTTATATGGATGTTACTTCCACTGAAACCCAATGGGCATTTTGCACAAAAACAGAGTGCAAAATATGGCCTTCTATGTGATTTTCATGAAGCAATGAAAATTATTAATTAATACTGCTACATATTGTTCAACATATTCATTGGTCTGGAGACCTTACAAAAACAGTAAAAAACAAAAATTGTTTAAAAAATTGAAAATAATCAAAATAAAATCAAACAAAGAGAGAATCAGTTTTACTGCTAGTGTAACAGCCACAACCTCAAAGATTTTTCTGTTCTCTTTCTTATGAAGAGAATACAAAATGGCAGTTCAGGCAGCCCTGAACACACTGTGAATTTTAAATATTAATCCACTAAAAAGAACTAAAGACATATCATCTATAGAACTATGAGGCTATGTAGGTTTATGTGGGATTTTTTGTTTACTTTAGTGACCTGAAATTTAGAATTAATATATCACACTGAAATAACTCACTTGTGATGACAATAGACTATAGATTATAGACTATAGATTTTCTAATCCTGTATAATTTTTACCTCTCTCTGTCTGGGGAGTAGTGGTCATCTTTTACACGATGTCTATCCATTCGGTTCATGGTATTATAATGTGCAGGAGTAGATCGAATCCCTCGAGGTCCCTGTTCCACATTCCTACCGAGGACATAAAAGCCATCAAAGTCTTAGGGTGAGCAGTAGACCATGTCCTTATATTGATTTGTAAATTTAGTTCTGCTAATGAAAATGTCAGCCATTAAAAAGCTTTAAGATGTCTATCTTTCACATACTTGTACTGTCACATAATTATAAGCCTCACAGTGAATTGCTGACATAATGGCTATCATTATTTAAGGAGAAAAGGCCTACCTTAGTGTCACAGATACTGTGACTTTAGCAGAGAAAGTGATTTCAGCCACTGCACTTATAGACTGATGCACTGTAGCAGAAATCTGCTTTCTAACTCAGGGTATGTCTACACTAGTTACACGCGGCATGGAGTAGGCAGTTCGAATTAGGATCTCTCATTTGAACTACCAGTACACCTCGGAGTTTGGACTAAGGGGGATTTTAAAATGGCGGCGCCTGGGAAGATGCAAATGAAGCCCAGGATATTTAAATCCCGGGCTTCATTTGCAACTTTGAATGCCTACATTAGCCTCCCTAGTTCCAACTAGGGGGCTAGTGTAGACATACCCTCAGAGACTTATTGTAGGGAACTAGAATGTTCCAGGATCTATCTAATATAGAGATAGTGTTTCTCCATATTAGCAGAGACAATCTACTATGGAATGATATGAGGACTACTAAGGGAAAATTTAGCCTGCCAAGTAAAATATTACTTCTAGAAATCATTAGATATCTGCTTTGTAATGAAGAAGTAGCGCAACAATTTAATTTGCATAATTTAGGAAACTAAAGGAAGAAGATGGATTTTAACTAAACATTTTCTATATTCCAGTAGCAAAAAAGTAATTATTATAGCGAGTGAAATCTTCGCTACACTGAAGTTTTACCACTAACTTGTGTAATATGAAGTTTTATCACTGACTTCAACCTCAGTTGTGGGGCCAAGATTTCACCCATGTTTTATTCAACATAAACACTGATAATCGTTGGCATTCAATAACCCCTCTTTTCCTGTAGCACCAATACTAGGAAGAAAGGAAGATAAACGTATTGGTTAATAGTACTATTAGGTAAATGGAATGGGATACTGTATTTTCATTTATATGTTCACATAATATATTAGGCAAAATGTTTACAGACTATCATACAATGAAGGAAATCATTCTAATTAGATGAATCAGAATAATGAGGTATTTCCATGTTCTTGGAATCTGTGGCCTATACTGTAAAATCAAGACACATGCAGTGACAGCTTCTGGGCACCCGAATTTGAGAAGGCGAAGGTCAGTGTCTTCACTACGGGCAAGAATCAAATGTTGTCTGAAGTAGTGCATCCACATTATGGAGCCTGCTGTCGACTCAGAGAGTGAGGTAGGCAGTCGTACTTAAGCTTCTGGTGTCCACTGGGTCCAAAACTTGGCAGCGGGTGATTAGAGGGGCTCATGTTGGCTGCGTCTTATACAGCACTCCTCTAGTCCCTCTCCCCTCATGTGAGATAAAGGGAATGCAGTATGCTCATTCCTTTTGGTGCCCTGGTTGCCTGTGCTAATGCCAGAGTACTGTGACCATGGAGTCTGGGATGCTAGAAAGAATCGTTGTGCTAATAAGTGTTGTCGTGCACCTCATGGAACTGTACTTTGATAACCTGTGCACAGTGCTTCACCAGGAAGAGGACAAGGACAAAGCTTGGCATGGCATGGAGGCCATGAACTTGTGCTAGTGCAGTCACCAGACAATGCTATGGACACATTGCAAAGCTGGTTCTGGCATCAGGAGACAAGCTCAGATTGATGGGACTGCATTGTGATGCAGAGATGGTATGATCGGCAGTGTCTGCAGAACTTCCAAATGTGGAAGGCCATATTTCTAGAACTCTGCAAATGACTTGCCCCGACTTGAGATGCCAGGATACACACATGGGACCTGTTCTGACTGTGCAGAAGTGTATGACAACTGTGTTATAGACATTTGCCACGCCAGAAAGCTACCCATCAGTCGGGAATCAGTTTGAGAAATCTACAGTCGGGGCTGTTCTCATACTATGCTGTCTGGGGAATGTGGATACCATATTGGAGAGCTTTGCCACCATGGGCTTCCCTTACTGCAGTGGGGCCGTAGACAGGATACACATCCCCATCGTGGCCCCTGACCAACAAGCCTCAGAGTATATCAACCACAAAGATACTTCTTCTTGGTGCTTCAGGCGCTCCTAGATCACAAGGGCCACTTCACCGACCACAATGTGAGATGGTCAAGATACCTGCATCCTTAGGAACTCCTGCCTCTTCCAAAAGATGCACATTGGCACTTTTTTCCCCAATTAGACAATCAGAGTTGAAGAGGTTGACATGCCCATTTTGATCCTGGATGACCCAGCTTACCCTTTACTCCTCTGGCTCATAAAGCCCTACATGGGCAGCTTGGACCCAGCAAGCGGTCTCCTCTTTGGCCTTGTGATACTACTGCCTGAGCTCCTTGATTTTTACCCTGCACTGCTGGGCATTCTTGGCAAATCCTTTTCCCTGAGGCAACTTGTGGTTCTGCAGCAGATCTCGGCATCCCTCTTGCTGGCTCAGAGTTCATTGAAGATTAACTCAGCTCCCCACACCTCAATGAGGTCCAAGATCTTCTGCACACTCTAGGTTGATGCTCTTCTGTGCCTGTGGGAAGCAGAGCCCATGGGAGCAGAGGTATTCACTCTCATCAGAGTGTCAACTGATTTTTTGAGGAACTCATGTCCATGTGCCCCGCAGTGAGCTGCTTACTCTCAAAGCCTTTGCAAAGCTGGCCACATGGGACAGGCTTCTGTTCCTGGGATTTTTTTTAGCTCAACAGGTGAGCAGTAGAGGTGGAAATTTTGGCCAGAGCGGTCAGAGTGGACAACTGCAGGAGGCCTCCCAGAGGCCAATAGCGTTGAATTTCCAGCAACATTGCATCTACACCACCATCACTTTGACCATGCATGGTTAGAAATAGCATTATTCCTAGTGAAAAGCAGAAATACAGGAATCGATTTCATGGCACCTAAGTTGTAGCCCTGGAATTCTGTAACTAGTAGTTAGTTATAATGAATGTGTGTTATAACAAAAGGTTTGGATTAAACTTAAATACAAGATGTAGGCCTCAGACAGGACAGGCAGCTTGTTAACTTAGCTCCAGCTCTGTTGGATGTTAGCATACTGAAGTGAAGGGATAGAGTATTGTAATGCATAATGATGTCAGCATTAGATAAAGCCTTGTAGTAGATAGAAAAAAAAATTATGTTGAAAGACTTTACAACTTTTTTAAAGTGACTAGAAGTTCCATGCTGGAATTCTGTAAATGTATTGTTTGTGTGAATAAGAGCAAGAATGTTTTAGGAGAGATAAGTGTGAAGGCTACTGCATGCTCAAATGGTCAGAGGAAGGGCCAGAGACTCAGAAGTACCAAATAATTATCAACTAAGCTAAAGCACACTGAAGACGCAAACTAGACCGAGGCAGATTGACGAACCCTGAAGTTAGTGGCAAGTACCCCTTGATAGGGAACCAATAACAACTTTTGCCAGAAGACAACTCCCAGGAGGGGTCGTATGCATACTGATATCAGATGACTGTGAGAACAACCTCTAGATAAACATATGTCGCAGAAAAACTGATTGTGATGCTAAATGACTGATTAAGGCCTGACAAGGCAAAGTGCATAGACTTGCATGGAAGAAAAATCCTATAAAGGATGGAGTGTCTCGTATGGTTTTTCAGGTTCCTGTCCTGCTATGACTATGGCGTATCAGTACGGACAGACAAAAACTCGGCTCCTTCCTCACACCCGACCTATCTGGCCAATAGATTGGGCTGAGCAACAGACTGGCAACTATTCCATCAGCAGGGCGTGTGTGTTTATATGTGTGTGTGTGTGTGTGTGTGTGTGTGTGTGTGTGTGTGTGTGTGTGTGTAAATGCATAAAATATTTTGTTATATTATCAATAAATACAGTGTGTTGTCTTATCCCCCTGAAAAAGATCCCATGTGCTTCTTTTAAGAATAACAAATGGCAGTGCAACAGACTTGGTACTGTGGACACATCACTTAGAAAATTTGAGTGTAGGTGGCTAAATTTGGTGTAAAGTCCTAGTATAGACCAGGCCTCAATATTTAATAGGCAGTATATATATTATGGCCAGATCATCATCTCATGTTAAATCAGTGCAACTACACTTTTAGTATAGCTATACTGAATTGTGCAGCTGAGGCCTGGCACTCGAAAATGATAACTAACACCAAGAGGAAACCCATTCAAGACTAGATCTCTATTTTTGCATCTCTTGAAGGAAACCATTCCCATGAAGGCAGTGTCTATCCATTCTTAACAAGACTGTTCTTAAATGGTATTTTAAGTCCTGTAATAGTCATTATCTTATATAGTTGGAGTGTAAGGCAGATGTTCTAATCTTTCTTTCACAGGATGCACCAGAGGCTGCTGCAGAAAAAGGATGTAAATTCTTTTCTATATATAAAGCCGCTATAGAAGTGTTAATCTACCTTTGTTGCTTCCAAAATGAGTAATAGAACACTGAGAACCTTTGGATTTCCCAAGGCTTAGTCACTGGTCATTTATAAACATAGAAACAGAAAATAGCCATTGACACACTGATAAAAAACAAGAACACCTCAGATCATAAAACCTTTAACCTTGTATATTTCTCTTTTAGAAGAAACATGATACAAATTTCTATTGTTTTAGATTAGAAAGTCCTTTTGACAGACTGATGTAAAAAAGGGAAGGAATAATTTACACAATGTTATATTATTTAAAAAATCATTATTTCATAAAGAGCAAATCAATTGCTCTGTGTTTTAGTCATTCACTATTTTTCTTGGGATAACACTTAGTACAGATAGCCTCAAGGATTTCAGTAACACTTACATTCATAATTTCACAGATATTGAATCTATATAGTGATTTACCTTGGTGGAGGAGGAACACTAGGAGACCAAGATCTAGTCCGACCTATACTATCTGTATGGTGAGGGGACCCTGACCGAGAGCAGTGATTGGATGACATTACTTGTTCTGGCACTGATAACGTTGAACTCTGAAGATCTCTTCCATTATGTCGGTAATCTAAAGAAAATATAAAAGATCAGCAAAACTGAAATCACATTTGGATTTGTTTACTTTCTAATTTATTAAATATGTTGCATTTGTTAAATATGTCATAAAAGATGACAAATAAGGCAATGCTGTTTTGACTGTTGACAGACTTATGATACATTTGTTTCAAAATGTGTGTAACATAAAATATGAGTATGTTTCCTATAGTTAGGATAGAATTTCCTTTTAAATTGCCACTTAAATTTCCTTTAAAATTCCATTTAAATTGGCATCTCTCCAAACATTAATTTAGAGGAAAAAGATGATCTCTGAAGAATATGATTCATTAATTACATTAATTTAAAACAGGATTTTTATTAGAACAAAAAGATAAAAAAATAAGTTACTGCAATTTTTTAAGAAATGATGTACTGTCATGATGCGGCGCAGAGAGGAATTTTCATAATTCAAAATCCTTCAAAAATCGGTGATCCTAAATGAAAAATAATACTCTGAAGAGATGGAGGGAGTAGGTGTGGGAGCTCCTACTTCAGAAACAGGTACACAGCACTGACATAGAGAAATGGGACTCCACTCTTGGGATCAAATTTAAGCAATAGTGTTAACTTTATAAATGTAAGAAGGAAAATGTGGATGTCCTGTAGTTCACATCTTTGATGTTTAGTTAGTATGAGTCATGAAAAGTCCTAACAGAAAATCTACCAACCTATAACAATACTAAGTGCAATCAGATGGCAAAATGCAAACAAATGGTCCTTTTCATGACAGCTGTATCCATTCTACAGACATGAACAGAAATAAATGGAATCAAAGAGGGAAAAGAGAAGGTCAGACTTTATAAGGTAATTCATACACACAAAGAAGAAACCCATTAAATATCACATTTATGGAGAAGAGACTCAGTAGGATGAGCATATGAATATGAGCTATATATTTGAAGGATGATAGACTCATTAGAGTGGAAATATATCTCCAGCTTCGGAAGAAATTGCAAATAAGTAAATACCATCATACTGTCCTACTTTAATCTGTCAGCTCTTGAAACTGAGGTCACTGCCTGGGGAACATTACCTTCTAGGTAAAACGTATGGGATCACAGATATTGAGCAGTTCTAAAGGAGCTTTCATGAGGTTTGTCAGGACCACACTCATATCCAGTGACAGGGAGCCGTGTCACAAGAGATGGAAGAATTTTAAAACTAATCCTGATGACAAGGACCTGCAGAGACAGTGGTCTTCAAAGAGTTTATGACAAGCCATAGTTGTTACCCAACAAACATGGATGGATTTGGTATTTCATCCAGAAGAAGGTAGTCAAGCAGTTTGGTGAGGGGATACTTAGAGGCACCAAAATAGTCTGATTGCACCACACTGAAAAATGTTGCCACTTAAAATTATAAATCCTTCTGGCAGACAACATCTAAGATAACAGGAGGACTTGAGATACAACATATGCAACTCTTCCCTGTCAAGAACCAAACTTTTAAAAGTTAGGGTTCTCAGCATGGGAAAGAGCAAGACAATCTGGTTCTGAGCAATTATCTGTGAGAATGGTCCCTGCTACCTGCAACCAAACTGAGAGTCATACAAGTTTGAGTTTATATCTGACTACTGGGATAATCAAACCCTCACATCTGAGCTTGTCAGGATCTTTGCTAACAGAAAGGTACTGACAGAGAGGCATGCAGCCACCACCATCACCACTTCTGTCCCTTAACAGTCTGGTCTCTTCTTGGTGTAACGAGCAGAAGTCTAGTAGTTCTTCTGTGGATAAAAGGAAGAGATTCGCTGCTCTTGTCCCTGAATGCCTTGCAGGATGGCACTAGGCATAACTTGAATCCAGTCAGTATGTACAATGGTATACAGGTTAATGACTTTTGCTTTCCCCTTCACCTCTCACAGGGAGGAAACCAGGGTGATCAGGAGACAGGGAGACCTCACGTTTCTTTGCATTCTGTACAGATGTTACACCTAATTCTGAAGTTATCCTTTCTGGTAAATGGAAGATCTTGCAGCTTTTGGCCCTGCATTTGGAATCCAGATGCCTATAACAAGTAGACCTTCAAATATCCACTCTTCAGCCAATAGTTCTTGGCAATATAACACACTCAACAAAGGCTGCCCACACATCTTACTGAGCCATGCACAAAATTGGTCATCTATCCTGTCATTCCCTGACTATAGAAGAAATTCAATTAAAGCTTGAGCATTTGTCCACAATGGATTTTGTTTTCTGGCCTTATAGACTGCAGTCCATAAAAGAGCAGCTGCAAAACAGTAAATCTGTTTCCAGAAGGACTGGAGCATTAAAACTCTGTTCTGAAGTCCAATTTTACAGATTCGGATGGATTTAAATTCAAGTCTCTGTCATATCTTCATTAACTCATCAGGAACAGGATACTGCCATATTATTCCAATGTGCTCCTAATCCAGGTACTTCTTAACCTTGGCCTCTGGTAACAAACTAAACCAAATCCAAATGACTTAAAGTCATGGCTCCCATGAAGCATGACTTTGTCAAGCATGTCTAGTACCCATACATATTATGCTTGACTCCAAGACAAAGGATGTAGCAATCACGTAAATCTGCAAGCAACTTCTTCCTGCTACATCCACACATCGTCAAGTCTTAAAATTCCTTCTTTCTTTCTTTGTGTGGATCAAGGGAGAGAGATGCCATCCTGTAAAAGAAAACAGTATAAATACTAGCTGCATTTAACAACAAAAATGTATCAATGTAAAAAACACCAAAACTCTCAGTGTAGCAGATGTCCAATAGAATGTTCATTGAATTGTTCAAGAGAAACAAGCCTTCAAATGTTGAGAGCCGACAAACATATCTATGTGTGGAAGGCCATTGGAGCAAAGTTTTGACACGTCAAAGCCTTGACATCAATGTGCCAATACAACTCCTTGTAACAATAGGGTTTTCAGAACTTGAGTCAAATATTTAATTCATATCCCTTTAATTAAGATTGCATTTTCCTCATCACCATTTGATTAGAGAAAACAAATCTGATGAACTTTACAGCTTTTATTCAAGAACATAAACAAAAGATTTACTAATTTATTATACTTCCATAAAATACTAAAAAAATGAAAATGAGATTGCTCTTACAGTATAAATCAAGAGAGCCAAATAAAATAATTAACAATAATACAAATTAGAATTGGAGAAAACAACTTGAGATCGACAACTGATCAAATCATTGCATGATCAAAATCAGTAATCAAATCAGAAAGTTATTAAAACACCAAAGATTAAATGGTTTACTTGGTCTTTCTTTTTCTATGCATTTTACTTAACAGCTTATACTTTCCCTTGTAGAAACAATGGGTTAAGCTTTAATGTGTTAAATACCACAGGTGACCTCTTGTGATCTGTGGTATATTTTGCTTTCAACCTAGATTAATCAATGCTCAATGATAATTTGAATTATGGGCTTATATGCATGCACTATTACAGGCCATAAACAAGTATGCACGCATCCCTAAAAAGGCTAACATAAGAAGTATTTTCCTGGCAGGCATCTCTGCACAGGTATTCAAATATCCTGTTAAGGAAACAAAAATAAGAAAGTTACTTAGAAAAAGATAAAGGATTAGATCTTCACCTTGCTTGGTGTCTGGAGCTTTATAGACAGTCAGAAAATGCAGTTTGGAGAATTAGGTGATGTCTTGTGGCCGAGGTATTGTGAAGCTAGTAGGCATCATCCTCCGATCAACTGGCCGTGCTACAATGTTTTGGTCTCTACTTTCCTTCAGAGGGAAGGTAGGTGTATCAGCCATCTGGTTGTCATCATGGTGACCTCAGGAGAAACACTTTCTTTCTCATTTACCATGTTTTTTAAAGAGAGAAACCCAGATTGATAATGTCCCAGAGGATCTCCTCATCAGTCTTCTGATCAAATCAGAGGATCACATATTTTGGACTCCAAATGCATTGTCCAGTTCTGGTCAAGTGAGTTTGGGTCTGGCCTCTGGTCCCCTTTTGGGGCCCTGCTTCCTAGAGTACTGGTTCTTTGTCATATCGACAAGTCTGTGTGTTTTTCCCAAACAAGCAATATTAGGGGAACAATGGGAGGTGATGATTCCACCAAAATGATCTCAGCTCCCCTTATCTGAATCAACAGAGTTCCTAATCAGCTTCTTGACAATTAGGTCCTGGTGACTTTCCTGGACCTAATTTTTACCCACCAACCTTTGACTTAGAAAAGTTGTTGCTTAGCCATTCACATGTTTTATTCATATACTTTCTCAAGGTCTATGCGGCCTTAGGACCCCAATAAGAAATTGCAATACTGTTAAACAGCATGAGAAACTGGTGAACTATGTGAACCTTTTTATCAAATTTCTACTTAATGTGTTCCTCAAGTCAAAGTAGAAGATACAATGATGCTCAGAAAATAAAAAAATTAGTGGAAAAGGCAGATTAAGGCACAGATTTGAAGAAAGTTATATTCTATGATCACATACCTCAAAACACCAACAAAAACACACGTTTTGTTAGTCTTTAAGGTTCTGTGAGACCATTCGTTGTTTTATAATTTATTTCTTAAGTAGTGCCATATAAACACATGCTGCTCTACAAAACAAGGAAAGATTCTTCTGCACAATGAAATAATGCTTATTGATGAAATTGGTATTTGTAGAGAATGCATAAAAAAGAGACGGTTGGCATATGAGAGATGTCGTGTACATTAGGCTTTTATTGGGGCTGTCTGGTAGTCAGGAGTACCAGAAAGCATACAGCTGAACACTCCTACACACATAGGATAAGACAAACCAATCAGACAAATGATCAGGTATTGAACAAAGATCTTTATATGACTGTGATAAAGAAGAAATTAAGTTTTGTTGGTGAGATAGGACCAACTGGTGGCATATAAGGCTACGTCTAGACTGCTGCTTTCTATTGGAATAAGGTATGCAAAGTATCCTCCACAATTTGCATACCTTTTTCCGATAGTTTTGTCGGAAGAGGCTTTTCCGAAATTTGGTCCATCTAT